CCCGGTAAGCTGCGACTTTCTCTATTCCAACTCCATTTTTTCCTTTTAAAATTGATTCAAATTATATTATATGATGGAATAATGAGGCTTATTAGTTTACTATTATTTATTAACAGGTATTTATGAAATATTTAGAATTAAATATTTTTTATAATAATTAATAATTTTAATAATGGTATGTCTTTCATTTTTTAATACTTTATGATTTTATTATTATTTTTATATAATCATTGATATCTGATTTGTTAAATTTCGAATCGAATGTTACAAAGATAAAAACGACCTTCTCAATTTAATTGTTCCGTTCGTAAATATCATAATTTGAACTCCTATCTTATTTAGAGGATAATCTCTCACTCACACTAAAACAACTGTTCTCGATAGGCATGTGATTATTAAATCATCATAATCGTAATATATTGTGATAAACATTAATTAAACTGGACGATTAAGAACATCAAAAATATGAAAACTAAAATTAAAAAAACGCATAGATTAAATAAAAATTAAAAAAAAAATAAAGGTTTATTGTATTAAAAATATGAGCTTTATATACTAATGAGATGTACGAACCTTTTTGTATGGGATGAGTCTACAACACCACCGATGTACACCATATTAAGTAGGTAAAATCTAAAAATGATCATTAAGTTATGATAAAAAAAAATTTAGTCGTTTGACTTTTAAAAGTTATAAAATAAATATTAGATTTTAGATTTTGTTAAAAATATAAGCATTGATCCATAAATATCATAATATACTGAATTTTTTTATTTATTTTTGAAATGGTAAATATAATTTTGAAATTATATTTACACTTACTAAAAATCAAATTATTAAATCTAAAAATTATAAATTATAAATTTTATAGATTAATCATAATTAATAAAATATTTACAAATTAATTTGCTGAATTAACAAATTCATACAGTTATAATTTTATAATTTTAGAAAAATGTTTTTATTTTTTTTAAATAAATTGTGAATTTCTATATATATTTTTAAAAATGATTTTAAAATTATTATTTGAAATTATTGAAAATATAGAAAATAAAAATTATCGACTGTCGGTTATCTTTCTTCTTTGTTTTTCTTATTTTTTTAAATAAGAATAATTTTGTCTTTGTGACATGTTTTCTGCCTTTATAGTACGTTTATTTCCGTCTTTGTGGCGCGTTTTTCTCTGCTTTTTGGTGGCTCACGCTTATTTGATGTTGTTTTTGTTTATCATTTTTCTCAGGGTTGGATTTGACATCGTCACGACTGATTAAGACGACGCTTATTTGTTATCATGTTGATCTTCCTTGCTTTGGACCCTCGAATTGATTTAGGATTCATTTTGCGTTTGTGAATAGTTTTCTCACGTCGCTTGACTCTGATTTGTGATTTGTCGGTGGACTTCAAACTTCATCCTCCTCTTAAGTGATTCATTTGTCGATACAGTTATATTTATTTGTATCTTTATTTTATTCGAGCATTGGTTAGATTGTTTAATCATTTCATATTTTGGTTTTTATGTGATTTAGGTGACTATTTTTGTGTCAATAGTTATAGGAAAATGTACTAACTATAATTTAGTTTATGATTTTATTGATAAATCTTTACTACAATTCTGGATATATGATATTAAATTTCTGCCATACAAATTAAAAAACATATTTGATATGATATTATAAAATTATGGATATATGATTTTTAAATTACATTTAAATTTTTTTAAATAAAAGTTAAATGTTTAAATCGCATCATTAATAAAAATAATTTTATTATATGATAATATAAATTTTCGGACATTAAAAATTATAAATTTTTTATTTTAAAAATATAACAATAATTAAATAAATAATTAGTTATAAAACATTTTTACTTAAAAAATTAATTTCATTGTTTGCAAATTGAACTTTTGAAAATATTTTTTTTAATTCTAAAAATAATTTATTTTCATATATTTGAAAAAATTCTATTTTTTTAGAATTACTTAAAAATGTTAAAAAAATATTAAAATGAAATTTTAGTTAAATAAGATATTTTTATTAATTTAATATGTTATTCACACCTTAAAAACATTTAACGATTGTTATTTATTTTTTGGTTTAAATACATATTTTCCCCTTGAACTATACATGTTTTAGAGTTGTCTCCTAAAGTATTTTTCAGAATGTTTTGTCCATAATTAAAAATCTTTACCTCGTTTGCCCCAAATCATTGCACCTCAACTAACTCCGTTAAAAACACATGGGTAAATTACACATTTAGTTACCCAACTATTTTATTCTTCAAAATTATCATTAAACTTGTCTTTTTATTGCATTTTGGTCACCACCTCTCCAAAAACAGCTCCAACTCAGCAACCTACAATTTCCCCCATTTCTCCTCCAAAGCAGCTCTCTTTTTCCCCAGCCATGTACAATCCATGCTTCAAAATTTCATCTTCCAAGCTACCCACACTAGATTTCTTATCGGACAAACTAGCTGAACTTTTGGACGGCTTGATCTCAACCTCCATTAGCTCCCTATTGTCTACTTTCTCATCAGCTGAAGCAACCGACTCTGCTTTCAATGTATCCGATGCCTTGTCGTTTCCCTTTTCTTTTGCAGCAGAAGAATCGATATTTTTTATGATTCTTTCTTTACCCCAAATCCTTTTCAACAATTCAAATACTTGTTGTTTATGGGCTTAGAAAATGTCCGATCCTCACCATCTTTACTCCTACTGTTGTTCTCAAATTTCTTCTTCAACCTCCTAACCTTATACATCAACTGAGCTCTCGAAACGACAGTGTGAATCGAATCCTTAACAAAATCATGAAAGGCATTCGTATCAGCAAACGTGTCAACTTCCCTTTTGGCCAAGAGATCCAACAAGCCTTTCAAAACAGCAACTTCATCGTCGTAGCTAAAAAGTCGCTGGAAAAGCTGCTTCTTTTCGTCTTCTCTGGTATTCTTCACCTCCTCCTCAATAACATCGGCATAATAGGACTCGTCCTCACCGACTTTCTTCCTGGAACGTTTCGGTTCCTTGGGTTGTTCTTGATCGGACACGCTGGGACGTTATGAAGGCCTGGATCTGGTTTTTTCGACCTTTCACCTTCTTCTATTTGGGTGACCAAAATAGAATTGTATAAATAGTTGAGTGACTAAATTTATAGTTTATCCATGTGTTTTTAACGGAGTTAGTTGAGGTGTAACGATTTGGGACAAACGGAATAATGATTTTTAGTTGAGGGGTAAAATGTCCCAAAAAATACTTTAAGGGACAACTCAGTAAAATAAGTATAGTTTAGGGGGAAAATATGTATTTAAACCTTATATTTTTTAATAAAGTCTAAAGTTTAATGTTTATTTTGTAATTTTTTAAAATTCAATGATAAATAAAATTAATTTAAAAAAATGTTGTGACTAATTTTGAATTTTTACCTTATTTTATATTAGTAGTACATTTCAATGCATATTATTCGTGGAGCATTTTAATGAATGTCACTCATTGTAGACTCGTTCATGTTCTATGGTGTTTAAAGGAGGAATGGAAGGGTAATACTATAAAGCAACCGAAGTAATTAGGCTAACAAAAAAAACAATCATTTCATTCAAAACATTTGATTTAAAAAGAAGGTAAATCACATAAATGGTCTTCGGCTATATGATGTTGTTTTATTAAGTACTTTGATTATTAAAAGTTATAAAATGATAATTTTATTATAGAGTGCTATTTTTTTTTATTTCCTCGACTATTAAAAGTTATAAAATGTCACTCGACTATTTATTATGTTCCAAACTAGTATTTCCTCTTAAAATTTTGACGGTATTTCAAGTTAAACGTTTATTTGCTAACTGCATTATGATAAAATCTAACCTCAAAATCTCAAACGATTATCATATCTCAGTCATCATATTAACGTCCAACTTAGACAATCATCAAATTTTTAACAGAAAATAATGAGTTTAGAACATAATGAATAGTCGAGTGACCAATTTGTAACTTTTAATAGTCGAGTAATCAATTTGTAACTTTTAATAGTCAAATGACTTAAAAAGTAACATTCTATTATCAAAAATATCATTTTGTAACTTTAAATAGTCAATGAATATAATAAAACAATACTCTATAATCAGAAGACCTAAAAAAAAATACATGCAATTAGTAGATGCATATTAAGTTATTAACATAATATATAACAATGAGAATAAGATGAGATTATATATAAATTAGGACATAATATATGACAATGAGAATAAGATAAGATTATATATAAATTAGGAAGTTTATTGAGTGATCCAATCACAAGTTAGGCAGTGCTCAATTCATGTTCGTTAAAAATTTTTGTTGCTCGATATGACTCGTTACTCGTTAAACTCATTAAATTTTTTCTCGATTCTTGCTGGTTAAGAAAATTCGTTGCTCGTTAAGCTAACCAAATTTTTTACCTTATTTTCTTAATTATAAGTAAAATCTACTAATACTATACATAACTTAATATAATCGGAAATTAATAAATTTAACCAAAAAATCATCAAAAGAATGTATAAAGTAATTTCAAAGTCTAAACTCTAAAAACATTAATCCACAAAAAATATTAAAATAATAAATAAGATTTAATTTTTGAGTGTAGTAAAATATTAATTAATAATTTAATTTTTTTTGTTTGTTAAAAAAATAATAGATTAACAATTTATATCTTTTATTATCTAAAGTAAATTAATGTTATTTTTAATGAAATAATTTTTTAAAGATAACTACTAAATATTATATTAAAAAATTAACGAGTTACTCACAGACTTATCGAGTCAAGCTAGAATTTGCTCGATTCCACTCGTTAAGGTCTAGAATCGAGTTCAAATTCCAATCGAATCAACATGAGTCAAATTTTTATCGAACGATAACTAAGTCAAATTCGAAATGCTCAACTCATTAAGCAGCCACACTTATTCTATATATACTATATGTATAGAAAAAGCTCAAATAAATATAAAAAGGAAATTTTCACTAAAATCTCGCCGTGAGATTCAATACACGGGGATTCCCTACAAGATAAATGACCCAAATTCCCAACTGAAAACTTTAAAAAAACATAAGCCCTCCAATCTCCTAATTTCCCCAAATTCGCAATGGAATTTGTAAATTTTATCAATCTAGTCCCTCACTTGGAACAAGATAACATAGAAGAATCACATTATCTACATCAAAGTCGCATGCAAGCAAAGAGGAAATTAAAAAGAATGGAAGGGGCAGGAATCTAGTGCTTGATGTTGCAGGCTGTGGATTTGGACTTGTCCAGAATGGACCACATGACTTGCACATCTTCGTACGCACATGCCATCACCTCTCCATGCAGATCCATCACGTGCTTTTCATGCTCTGCGAACCCATCAACACAATTATCTATTTAGCCACATATCGAACCAAAAACAAAATAGAATCCAAGGTGTCGGTTGAAGCTTTTGTCTTCGATTCAATTATTTTAACCGATTTTCAAAAAATATATCATCAAGGGTAAACTACGAATCTAGCATAAATTTAAACTATTAGTTTTGATATGTTTTAATATTTAAATTTTTTATTTTTTTTAAAATTACATCTACCGTTTAATTTTTATTTCATTTTATAAAATTAGCATGACTAGTACCTAAACTATCATCATTTTTCGTCAATTTTAATACTTAAACTTTTAATTTTTTTATTAAAAAAATCAACATTAAATATTGAAAAATGATACTAAAATGAAACAAAAACAAAGCTTAGATATTAAAATGAACAAAAACTTATAGTTAAGGTAATGAATGCAATCCTACAAATTTTATAGTTATAAATCAATACATGTTAGGTTCATTGGGAAGAAAGGAAACGGAAAGGAAACGGAAAAGAACGGAATTGATGGGCAAGACATCGTCAGATGATATTAATTCTAGCCAATTTATACAAAAAATGTAAAATTACGCGTTAGTCCTCTTACAAAATTCAAAGTTATAAATTAATACACCTAAAAAAGCCATAATCGAGATTTTAATCCTCCTAAAAATTTAGTGATTCTAATTCCACTTCTCTATATACAAAGACAGAAAAGAAAGAGAGAGATGTATACCTCTGGAGGACTTCTTATCCCTGGGCTGCTGGTTGAAGAAAGTGCACGCTTTTTTGAACGGGGAAGCGATGGTTTTCTTCCAAGAAGCCATTAATGGAGCTTTAAATGGATACCCAATCCCTAAAATTATACTGTTTTCTGTATTAGCTTTGAATCGAAGCTCTGATTTTGGTTTCGCTTTGCTCTGGGTTATCGATCTCCCTGCGAATTTCCTGCACTTCTCTCCTCTGTATTGGCTCGCTTCTTAAATAATTGGGTCAACCCTAAATCCCCTTTTGTGTATATATATAGGCGCGTGCACGAAGCGAGGGCGAGAGAGAGAGAGAGAGAGAGAGGAAAGGAAACCAAAAGGCAAGATCCGTGGGATGAGGCTACAGACCACAAGGCTAGAGAGAAGGAAAATATCACCTTCCTTGTTTCATGTGCTTTTGATTTTTATTTTTTTCTGGGTAAAATACACTCAAGGTCACTGAATTATTAGTTTAATTACAAAAGGGTTACTTTTCTTTACAAAATTACAATTTAGTTACAAGCATTAAACGAAAATTTTAAATATAAACACTTTAATTTATTAAATTATAACTAGATTAATATAATGTATATGTTTTAAGGATTAAAACTATTATTACACTATGTTACATCGTATGTTTGTTTTAGTTTTTTATATATTTTAAATATAATTATAATCTTACTCGGAGACGAGAGAAATGAAGACTATGAGAAAGAATGAGAGTGCTCCTAGCTAGCCTAAGACCCATAACCTAGTAGAATACAAAGGAACAAATATAAACAACTTGATCACCTGACCAAATATGTTTTTTATGTTTGTTTTAATTTTAAACATAAAGTAACATGTTTATAGTACCATTTTGGTTAAATGACTAACACGTAAATTTTTTTAAAAAATGACATGTTTATAATTGAAACTAGTAACATGAGATGTATTTTATTTTTAAATTTCTAATATATTTAGGTAAGCCTGTAAATGAACTGAACGTTCAGCTAACCATTCATGAACCGTGCGGCGGGAAGTTCGTTTATGTTCGTTTATTTATTAAATGAACGAACATAAACAAGATTTTGCGTTCGTTTAATTAAATGAACGAACACAAACAAAGGGCTTGTTCGTTCATTTACGTTCGTGAACGTTCGGTTATATGTTCGTTAATGTTTGTTCATTTACGTTCGTGAACGTTCGGTTATATGTTCGTTAATGTTTGTTCATTTATGTTCGTTCATTTATGTTCGAACAGAGGGCAAGTTGAATATGTTACGAAAAATATTGAAGTTGGTTGGATTTCAAGAAGATTGTTTTGTTGAATAAATTAACTTTAAGACTTTATTATGTTCATGTAGTTTATTTATGATTTATGTATGTTTTTGTCGTATTCGAACAAATTAACTCTAAAGTTGCAGGTTATATTAATAAATTTTAAGTTGTTATTCTTGTTGTTTACTTTTTTTTTACATTCATTTGTTGTGTTCGAATAAATTTATTTTTTGTGTTTGTGTTGTTCATTTATTATGTTCGTTTACGTTCGTTCGTTTGTGTTCGTTTACGTTCGTTTATCATTTAAATGAACGAACATGAACGAACAAGAACAAGATATATTCCTTAATGAACGAACATGAACAAAAAAAATTTTGTTCGTTTATGTTTATGTTCGTTTATTTGTTCGGTTAAAGTTAAATGAACGAACATGAACATACCCCATTTTGTGTGCGTTCGGTTTGTTTATAGATCTATATATAGGGTAAAGAACGTAAATGATCTATGAGTATAGGATAATTTTTTATTAAGTCCTTCGATTATTAAGAGTTACAAAATGATCATTCGACTATTCATTATGTTCCAGAATTGTCCTTTTTCTATAAAAAAAATTGTGATTGTTTAAACTGGACGTTAACGTGATGACTGGAATATACTAATCGTCTGAGATTTTAGAATCAAAATATTACATTCGACAAGTTAACATTTAACTCAGAACATCATCCATTTTTTAACAAAAAAAGACGAGTTTGGAACATAATAAATAGTCAAATGATCATTTCATAACTTTTAATAGTTGAGTATCTTAATAAAGCAATGAAGTATAGTTAATGGATCATTTGCGTTCTTTATACATACATTTATTATTATTAAATTAATTTAAATGAAATATTATAAAGATTTATCATGAAGATCCTATATATATATATAAATATATTCTATCAAAATTCGAAGTATTAATTTTATGTATTTAATTAGTTCGTAAGGGTGGTGGTCTTCCTGTGGCGAGTGCTGCAGCGAGGCACATGGAGCACGCTACCGAGCATAACTGTTGCACGTGAAAGAGGGGGAGCCTGGCCTTTGCTTTTTTCAACGCCTGTGCCACTTATGTCTAAAAGTGACCGCCTCCCCTCTCATCCTCTTTTATTCATCAATATATCAAATAACATTACCATCGTAAAATTTATATTAAAAGATAAATTTAAATTAATTAAATTTTAAAGAGATTGAACTTGAATTTATAAAATATTAAGAGATAAAAATAGATTTTTGATAATAAATTTTCAAGGGACGATCATCTCCATCCGTTCTATTCAGATCCATTCCTAGTGGTCATACAAGAACGGATACAAGATTTTATGTTAGGAAAAACGAATTAAACTTAGGGGAGATTGACTAAAATTTCATGGGTCGAAACAGATTTTCAATGAAAAATATATATAAAAAATTAAAATATATAATAATTTTATATTTTTAGAGGGATGATTGCCCTCACACGTTATCTCGGTCCTTCCCTGTGGCCATCCTTCCCTGTGGCCATCCATTGTATATAAAAAGTCTTAAAATAATTCGTTTTTATAAATATTTTATGTAAGTTCCCATGGGATCTCAATCGAAAAATTTACCTACTGAAATCAAGTGTATGACACAATTCAATTTAGATTAATCAAGATAAAGTCTTAAAACTGGATGACGACAAAAAAATACAATTTAAAAAATTAATATAAAAAGAATATTATTTTCGACATTTAAAGATAAATATCATCAATACAAACATAAAAATATATATAATAATAATGCTATAGGCTTTATTACAACTCGAACATTACCTATTCAATTGTGAATATTTATCAACATGAGAGAGTCAATCTAATGATTTAATGTATAGATTGTTCAACAGTATAATCTTATAAACATCAACGAAAGATATATCGTCAAATCCAACCTAAACAAATACGTGCTATAACTGCAGAAAAACTATATATTATTTTTATACCAATAAATACTAATTAAACAAAATAAACCAACATAATTTAAATATATAGAATATAAAGTATATAAAAAATTATGATATAATCTGAAAAAAGAAAAGAAAGTGAAGGGGCGAACTGCAATATATATAAGAGTAAAGTACATTAATGGTTCACGACTATAGGTATTGATTTATCAAGTTTATCGATAATTAAAAGTTATAAAATGATTATTTAATTATATAATATTGTTTTATTAAGTTCATCGACTATCAAACGTTATAGAATGATCACTCGACTATTATTATGTTCCAAGCTCGTCATTTTCATGAAAAAATGACGATTGTCTAAATTAGACGTTAACATGATGTCTGAGATGCAATAGTCGTTTGAGATTGTATGATCAAATTTTATCATATCACAATTAGCAAATTAACTTTCAACTCATAATACAGTCAATTTTTATAACAGAAAATGACGATTTTGGAATATAATGAATAGTCAGGTGACCATTTTGTAACTTTTTTATAGTCGAGAAACTCAACAAAATAACATTATATAGTCGGAGAATCATTTCATAACTTTTAATAGTTGATGAATTTAATAAAACAATACCCTATAGTCGATGACCATCCGTGTACTTTACCGTATACATAATATATGATTAAAATTTTTAAAACTGACATCTAAATTAAATTAACTGTCAAAACCGATTAACTTAACGGTCAAATCATTTTAACTTAATCAAATTAACCGACATTTGGAGAATCTTATGGCTAACTTCAATGAAATCCCAAAGCTCCATTGAACATAGACATCAAAGTTCCCTCGTGTTCTTTTAAGTGCTACTTCCGATAACCAAACTTATTTTATTAAGTTTATCGACTTTTAAAAGTTATAAAATAGTTATTTAACTGTAGAATATTATTTTGTTGAGTCTCTCGATTATTAAAAGTTATACAATGGTCACCTGATTATTCATTATATTCTAAACTCGTTCTTTTTCGTTAAAAGTTTGACGACATTGTGAGCTTAACCTTAACATGTTGGCTATAATATGATAAAATATTATCCTAAAATCTCAAGCAACTGTCATATTTCAGTCATAATGTTAACGTCAAACTCAGACGAACCGTCAACATTTTAACAAAAAAAGATGAGTTTGAAACATAATGAATAGTCATGTGATCATTTTGTAACTTTTACTAGTCGAGAGAGTAAAAAAAAAGCGACATTCTATAATTAAATTATCATTTTATAATTTTTAATAGTCAATGGATTTAAGAAAGTAGTACCATATAGTCCGGGGACCATTTCTGTACTTTATCCTAAAATAAAAATCCAGTTAATAGTAAACTTATGTTATGGTTGAAAGCGGGATGGATGGGATTGTCTCAGGAAAGGCGGGTTAATATACGGCTAATATACAGCATTACCGGATACATTAAAATGTATTTAATAAATTCGGTTTAGCGGTACCTATTATGTTGACAACTAATAATGTTTTAGGTAGAAAAAATGAAAAACTATTAAAAAATTTGGTAACCGGTAAACTTTGGTTATCGGTAAGTATCTATCCTTTTTATAAAAGTGTCCATACGTTTAACATATCAAGTAAATTTTACCGGTTTTGTCATAATGAATCTGGTTTTGTCATATTTTTACCTGTTATATTGTAAATTATCTATCCTTTTTATAAAAGTGTCCATACTTATTTCACTGTGAAAATATATTTATTATTATCTTTAGTTAATATTGTTAAATTTAAAATCTAAATAATATTTTATAAAATATCAAAACAATCAAATAATTTTTTGTGTAAATGAAATTATTAAATTAATATTGTAGGTGGAAAACATGAAACACTATTAAAAAAATTGAAACATAAATTACATAACTTTCAAAAAAGTATATATCATTTTTATAAAAGTGTCCATACTTATTTCACTGTTGAAAACATATTTATTATTATATTTGGTTAATATTGTTAAATTTAAATTCTAAATAATATTTTATAAAATATCAAAACAATCAAATAAAATTTTGTGTAAATTAAATTATTAAATTAATATTGTAGGTGGAAAACATGAAACACTATTAAATAAATTGAAACATAAATTACATAACTTTCAAA